AAAGGAGGAGGCAACAATGCTTGATAAGAAATGTACTCATTATCTTGCCCATGTAATTGTAACCCCTCTGTACAGTATTTTCACAATAAAAAAATATGCACTGAAAAAAAGAGAAATACATGTCTTTATAAATGACACAGTCTCAATCAAGCACTATTGGTTCATGCTATAACTCTATCTCAGTTTAAAGCCAGTCTGAGGAAAAAAGTTCATGAGACTTCATCTTCAAAACAAACAGCAAAAAGCCGGGATAGAATCATGGCTCAAATGGTATCGGACAAACTAAGCAAGCAAGCCAAACAAGCACAAGGCCCTGAATTTAAATCCCAGTAGAGCCAAAATCAGTTAATCTCCAATTTTCTGTTACACAGTACAAAACAGACTAACAAAGAGTAGAAATAATAAAGATGCATAGGCTTTAAAGAACGAGATTCAGGTAAAGGAAAGCTATACTTACCCCAACCAGCGACACAAAATTTAAAGATATAATGTGGAATGTATATGTTGAAGACTCTGACTAGAGCAAAATACATGTGAACGGCCTCCAGGCCCATCCAAGTTAAAGAAACAAGCAAGAAGTAATGAAGTGCTACTGCAGCTGTGATGCAAAGTCCTTCTTTCTGAAATGATGACAACCAGGAATTGACCAGAAATACCAGGTTTAGCATCAGTAGTGCTGTGCACAGATTGATCAGAATTTTGGAAGGATAATCTTTTCGAAGTTTACTAAAAAGAAAGCACAATATTTATTGAGGTAGGCTCTGCATCCTTACCTGTGTAGTAAGAATTAAAAAGAACAAAATACTACTTATTACCATTAAATTACTCATCAGGGAGAGTGGTACATACCTATAATTCTAACAGTTGAAATGTTGAGGAAGAAGGATTTCTAGATCTAAGCCAACTTGGACTATGTAGCAAGATCCTCTCTCCAAAGAATTAAATAGAAGTATTCATCTTACCTTACATATATTGAATTTTCGAGTTTCCCCCTGTCTTTCTAGCTAGAGTCAAGTATATTGAAATATGGTGATTTACACAAATAGAATTATTAGTTTTTCTCAACTTATCAGCCCCTGTTTTTTTTCATTTAGAAAGAAAGAAGGAGTTTCCTATATGGTGAAATTCTATCATCATCAGTTTAGCAGACTGTATCTAGAGATAAGTAAATAGTACAATGACCACGGAAAGCAGTTGAAGTAGATTTACTTGAATATTTCAAAAGATAACAGCAGGGCTTGTCACCATGGAAATATGCCCTTAGGTTTCGCTATCCAAACACAAAGTTCATTTTGGAAATTGGCCCAGTGTCTTCTAACTTTAAAAATAGAATTTTCTTGCTGGGTCCTAGCCTCCTGAGTAGCTAGGATTACAGACATGAGCCTCTGGCACCTGGCTTTTGTGAATGTCTTTAACTGAGGCAACTTGTAATATGCAGCAGTCTTAAGAAAGCCCTCAGTGGATCTTTACACGCTACAGACCTGCAAAACTTTCATTCAGATAGAAAGTTAGATGTTGGGTGTGGTGGTGTATGCCTGTAATCTTAAGTTTTGGGGGAGGCAAAAGTAAAAGAATTGAGAGTCAGAGGCCAGCCTGGATTATGTTAGTGAGAGCTGTCTCAAAAATTAAATAAGACACAGTATTTTCACAATAAAAAAAGAAAAAAATTAAAACAATAACAAGTACTAGCACATTTCAACAACTCAAAGGGTACACTTATGCTTCTCACAATTTGTGAAAAAATGCTTTTCAAAATTAAAAAAAACTAAAATTCAAGGTAAAAGTTAGTGGGCTATCTTTAAATGCTAAAGTGAAAGGTTGATATTAGTTGAAAGGTGGTATGTCTTTAGCAAAAGTTGGCTGCATTGTGGGAAGCAAACATCCACAGTACCACACTGAAACTATGCACCCTGATCATTCATTGGCTTTCTTCAAGAGTGATCTCCTTGGAATCATATAACTGTGGTTACCTAGGGTCTGCTTATATTCCTTGTAAATATCTCTCAATCTGTGGTTGGTCTTTTCTCTATCATTACGATGTCTTTTGATAAAGAAAGCTTTGATTTTTAATGAAGTCTAGTTAATTGACTTTTTGAAGTCAGTGTTCTTGCATCCTGGTAGAGAAAATTTCCTATTCCTATCTTCAAAACTCTATTAAAATCAGATTAAAAAAATTTTTTTTCTGGGCACCAGTGGTTTATGACTATAATCGTAGTCCATGAGATTTTTTTAATCTCCTTTAACCACCAAAAAGTTGAAAGTGGAAATGTGGCTTAAGTTGTACAGCTCTAGCCAGGAGCATGAAAGCTCAGGGACAGCACCTAGGCCCTGAGAGCAAGCCCCAGGACAAGCACAAGAGGGCTAGAGGGCTGGAAGCATGGTGTTAATGGTATGAAGTCTTCAGTTCAAGCCCCAGTCCATTGTTCTCAGAGGTGACCATTATTTTGTATTGTCTTTAACCTACCCACTTAATAGTCCAGTGATCTAACGTCTTTCTAATGTGATGTATTGGTGAAATTAACAGGGCTACAATGACAATAGTATCCATCAAATCAAATTAAACTTAGAGCAAGGCTGTATCACTTACTGAAAAGCTATGTATGTCACCATTGCAATTCCCAGGAAAATGGAGGAGATGCCACATCCGGTGTATGTTATAATCATTAATATCCGTTCATTCACTGCATCCACTGTAGACCTGGATAAATCCTAGGAAATCAATGTGTTGTGTTTTACACATCTACCAGAGGAAGTTTATAGTAGAATTCTTCCAGTTAACAAGTAGTTCTCATCTCTGTATAGCTCTTATATAACCAGATTATATAGCTGGATGCGTGATAAGATCATACACTATTGACTATACCCAACACAACTGGATGTGTACAGGGCATGAATAGCCATCTACAAGATTGGAATAACATTTTGCCCTTGGTTTCATTATCATTAACATGTTATACACTTAAAATATAATCAAGCTAATAGATTTGAATTTGGGATGCAAAATGAATCATTAGCTGATCTAAGAATCATCAAACACTACACGGAACATAAAAAAATGTTCCTTTTTCTTAGATACTACATCATGTTTAAAAACTTAAAACACAATGAGAACCTTAGAAATCCATCTGGCAAGTCCTTAATGTGAGTTTCAAAAAGAGATATGCCGGGTACCAGTGGCTCACGCCTGTAATCCTAGCTATTCAGAAGGGTGAGATCTGAGGATCACAGTTCAAAGCCAGCCCGGGCAGGAAAGTGCATGAGACTCTTATCTCCAATAAACCACTCAGAAAACCAGAAGTGGTGTTGGGGCTCAAGTGGTAGAGCACTAGCCTTGAGCTGGAGAGCTGAGGGACAGTGCCCAGGCCCAGAGTTCAAGCCCCCATGACCACCAACGACAACAAAAAAAGAGATACAAAATGGACTCAAAATTATTTCAATGTACAAGTACACTTTCCTGGTTTACTCTCGGGAAGACTTCCAGCTGAAAGGAATTTTGTCCCTCCCTTCAGGACATTTGATAGTATGTAGGGACAGTTTGGTTTATAACAAGTAGGGAAGGTGCCAAAGAAACATAGGCCCCATGGTTTCCCTTATTTGTAATAACTAGTATATGTCTGAGTCAAGCAGAAAAGGTCAGATATGTTAATTTTTGGTGAAATGAACCCCAAGATATGTATTCAAATGTTTTTTACTTTCATGCAATTGTTTCTAACATATTTATAAGATGATTTCTTTGTTGCTTTGTATGTCCCTCCCCCACGATGTGACCCCTGCTTTCACTGTATTTGATGTTGTTATAATTTGTGGAGGGGAAAGGAAAAAACAAATCATCTAAATAGGGATACAGGTGGATCCACTGCAACAATGAGATGTACAAGTCGTTATGTCGAAAAACGAACTTTACAACTTTGGCTGGGATGGGGGGGGAGGGGAGGATATGGGTGGAGGGGTGGGATATAAGAAGGGATGGGAAGGGGAAACAAAGGAGAAGGCAACAATGCTTAATAAGAAATGTACTCATTATCTTGCCCATGTAATTGTAACACCTCTGTACAGTATTTAAAAAGAAAAAAAAGTAGTGAAGGTGCTACTGACGTATAGTAGGAGGCTTCAGAACATCTCACAATGCACATAATTGGTTGACACATATGGGTCAAATAATTGTTTAACCAGAAATAGTGTCAAGACTGAGAAATGCTAGTGTCTTTCAAGCATTCACATTTCAGAAGAAAAATCTATGTTCCAAACAAAAACCACAAAGACAATTTCAGAAAAAGCTAGAACATGAGCATGAAACTTTTGACTCTTTAGCCATTTGGGAGGGAGCTAAACAATAAAATTTTGGTTTGAGACCAGTCCAGGCAAAAAAGTTAGGGAAACCTTATCTCAAAAGAACAAATTGACATGGTGGCTGATGGCTATGATCTCAGTTAGGTAGGAGGCCATAGGTAGGAGGATCATAGTCTGAGGACAGCCTGGGGAAAATGCTAGACTCTATGTGAAAAATAAATAAGGCAATAAGAGATTAGAGTATGGCTCATGTGTTAGAGTACTTGCCTACCAAGCAAAAGACAATGATAGTACCCCTCAGTTCTCACAAATATTGAGTACCTCTTATTTGTTTAATTTTCATAGAAAAGAAAAAAATGGTCATATTCACATAGCAATTAAGCTATTGTGACCCTCTGCTAGGACTATCCTAGACATATACTAATTATCACAAATGCAGGAAACCATGGACCTAGGTTTCTTTGGGTCTGGCTTACTTCACTTAATATGATTTTTCCAAGTCTTTCCATTTCCTTATGAATGTGGTGATGTCATTCTTTTTGATGGAAGCATAGAACTCCATTGTGAAAATGTAACACATTTTATTGATCCATTCATCTACTGAGGTTGGTTCCATATCTTAGCTATGGTAAATAATGCTGTGATAAACACAGTTGTGCTGGTAGCTTTAGTGTAACCTTGTCTGTGGTCATTTGAGTAAATGTCCAGAATGGGATTGCTTGGTCATAGGGTAGTTTTTTGTTTAGTCTTTTTTGGGGGGTCTGGTCGTGGGGTCTGAACTCTGCGCCTGGGCGCTGTCCCTCAGCTCTTCAGCTCAAGGCTAGCGCTCTACCACTTGAACCACAGCACCACTTCCGGCTTTTTTCTTTTTGCTTATGTGGTGCTGAGGAATCGAACCAGGGCCTCAGGCATGCAAAGCAAGCGCTCTACCACTGAGCCACCTTCCCAGCCCTTGTTTAGTCTTTTGAGGAACCTCCATACTGCTTTCCAGAGTGGTTGAACAAATTTACATTCTCACCAATAGTGTAGTAGCATTCTCTTTTGGCTACATCCCCTCCAGCAACTCTAGTTTTCTTGATTATAGGCATTCTAACTGGGATGAGGTGGAATCTCAATTGAGCAATTCTTCACGTGTCTATTGGCCATTCTTATTTCCTCTTCAGAGAAGTCTCTAAGTCTTTAGCCCACTTATTTATTGGGCAGTTGTATCTTTGAAGATTTGTTATTGGGGGATTTAATTTTTTGAGTTCCAGGTATATTTTAGATGAGACCCTTGTCTGTTGTATGGCTAGTGAAAATCTTTTCCCAATCTGTGGGCTTTCTGTTGATCTTGCTAGCTATGTCCTTTGTCATGCAGAAGCTATGCAACTTCATGCAATCCCATTTGTCCAACCTTTCTCTGATTTATCGTGTTTCTGTGTTTTTATTAAGAAAATTTTGACCTGTTCCAAGGAGCCCTAGAGTTTCACCTATTCCTTCCTGTAATACATTCAGTGTCTGCCTTCGAGGTCTTTGATCCATTTGGAGCTGATTCTGGAGCAGGGTGATATATAAAGATCTAACTTAGTTTTCTATGGATGTTTAACCAATTTGCAAGCACCATTTGCTGAAGAGGCTATCTTTCTTCCATCTCCTATTTTTTGGCTCTCTTATCAAAGATTAGGTGGCTATAGTTCTGCAGGGTCATTTCTAGGTCTTCAGTTCTATTCCACTAATCCTTAGGTCTGTTCTTGTGCCAGTACCAAGCTGTTTTGATTACTGTAACTTTGTAATAGGGTTTGAAGTTTGGTATTGATATTCCTCCTGCATTGTTCTTTCTGCTAAGGATCATTTTTGCTATTCGGAGTCTTTTATTGTTCCATATGAATTTTGGGATTGCTTCTGCTATTGCATTAAAGAATGAGGTTTGGATATTGATAGGTATTGCATTGAATTTGTAGATAGCCTTTGGCAGTATTGCTATTTTCACGATGTTAATCTTCCCAAACCAGGAGCATGGGAGGTTTTTCCACTTCCTTAGTTCTGCTTTAATTTCTTTTTTCAAGTTTTTAAAGCTTTCATCATAGAGGTCCTTTACTTCTTTGCTTAACTCCTAGGTATTTTATTTTGGAGGGGGATTCTTTTTGTTTTTGTTTTTAGTGTACTGTGTAAAGCTATTTCTTTTTCCCTTCATTTTTTTCTCCTCCCCTCCCCAGGGTTTTATCTTCTGTTGTCACTGTTTTTATTTTGGTACCCTGTGTCTCATATATATGTTTATCTGATCTGGTTATAACAAAATGGTGAGACAGAGGGTGAACCAATGCAACAGCAATACTCACAAGATACTATGTTGGAGATGAACTTGGGGGGGGGAGGGAGTTGGGGGGAAAAAGTGGGAGAAAAAGAAGGAGCAGGTAACAATGTTTGATTAAAAAAATGTGCTCATTACCTTACTTACATAACTGTAATCCCTCTGTATATCACCCTTACAATAATTTTATTAAAAAAGAAAAATATATAAAATAGATTGTCAGGCTAGCTATGGTAGCAAATGCTGTAATATCAGCACTTGGGAAGTAGTGGCAGGAGGACAGTGTGTGTAAAGCTAGCCTGATCTACATAGGAAATGTGAGTAGAGCCTGAGCTATGTAGCAAGACCCTGTTTTTAAAATGTTAAAACAAAGAAGTAACACTTCCTTCAAGCTTCCCAGCCCTCAAAGATCCCACTATTTGTTGTAAAGAGAGTTCACATAGGACACATTCATATATCAGTATATAGAGAGTAAACTAAGAACTAAGAAATTACTTGTGTGTAGATAGAAAAGAAGGGAGACATTTGTGAATCATTTGGAAGGAAAACAACAAGTTCTGATGGGAGTGAAGGAACTAAGTTAACAGTGATGCTGAGACTTTAAGGCTCAGCTCAGTATACATGACTTTTATTAGGTTAAGAATTACAGATACTTTAAAACAGATTTTTGTAACCAAGTACAGGTGGCTCATGACTGTAATCCTAGCTACTTAGAAGGCCGAGATTTGAGATTGTTATTTGAAACCAGCCCATACAAAGAAATCTGTGAGACTCCTACCTCTAATTAACCAACAAAAATCCAGAAGTGCACTTGTGGTTCAAGTGGCAGAACACTAGCATTCAGTAGAAAAGCTAAGGAATAGTGCCCAAGTCCTGAGTTCAAGTCTGAGCAACGGTGTGCACACACACAGAAAATACATCTTTTAAATATTTCAACTTGATAGCAACTATTAATTTTTCTGCCCAGTACTAGGGTTTGAAATCTGGGCCCAACTTTTTGCTGGTTAATTTGGAGATGGAATCTCTAAGGGTTCCCTTGACCCTCCAGAAATCTCTAAGGTAGACCTTGACCAGAGAACCTCCAGATTTCAGTCCCCTAAGTACCTAGGATAATGCCAATGAGCCTCCTGAGCCAGGCTTAAAGTTTTATTTTATTTATTTTTAATTATTTTCAATATTAAAAACTTTAATGTTCGTGCCTGTGAATCTAATAATTTTATTTCTATTCACTTATCCTACAGGAATACTTTCCTTGGTGTTTTAAGATAAATAAATAAGGATGGGTATTAAGACAAAGCTCGTAATAGAGGAAAGGAGCTAAAAATCAACCAACTGGTGATTGGTTAAATTCATTAAGTCCATACATTGCTACTACACCTCACAAGTACTTTAAAAATTGAACTAGACAAATATATTATGTAATATGCACAGCTAAATGGAAAATAAAGTAGTCAAAACATGAAGGAAGTGTGAAATGTGCAATGAGTCTGAGGGAGGGAACAAGCAGGATTGGGAAGAATGATGGAAGGGTGGCTTTGATCAAGAAGCAGTCAGTGGATACTTATATGGGCATGTTAAATTGTAACCCCCTTGTACCATCTATTGATGTTCCGAAAGATAAAATTTTTTAAAAGAAAATTTGGATTGTACTTTTATTTTTGGTGCCAATCCTGGGGCTTGAAGTCAGGGCCTGGGCACTGGGATTACAGCCAGTAATCCCTTTTATAAAACAAAAGCATATGTAAACATACACAATTAATGTAAATGACTATACGTAATACACTGTCAGAAGTAGTAATCTTTCAGGAGGGGTGCTATGAGGACCTTTTCTGTATGGTTGAAATTTAAATAACAGGCATTAATCTTATAAGGAGAAAAGTATAAATCTGTTTCAATCTCTGTACTTTGGATGAGCAAGATAGAAGGAGAGGAGGCCTTTTCTGCTTATATACCACTTTTTCCATAACTTAGTTCTTAAATACATTGCAAGTCTGAATCTAACACAACTTTCCAAACTCCATAGAGGTGTGATGAAGAGAGGACTCACCATTAAAACTCCAAAGTGGGTGAGGTGGTCACACTGACAGATTGTATAATTCACATTTGTTTCTTTTACTTTACAGCCTGATGAATTCCATCCACCTAGCCCATCTGCAGGGACAGAAGGGAATTTCAAAGCAATTTTAAATTTCTCAGAAATGTTTAACTTTTCATTATATGCACCATCCAAACATGTGTTATAATTAGCATTGTTGGTTAAGACAGAAAGAGATAAAATTGAATACCAAAATTAAATTAAGTCTAATAGAATAAATTGACTTGGGAGGGGATTCATATATGGCATAACTTCTGTCTGTCACTTTTCCTATTCATGTACCATCCATCCCTCTACAGATTAGGGCAGACTCTATGAACAACAGTTCTGCCATGCTGGTGGCAGAACAGAGGAAACAGGACAATCTTGAAATGTGTGAAAGGCATAAACCTGTGGAATATAGGCTAGCACTTGAACCTATTTAGTAGTATTGGATAAGAAACTTGCAACAGCCAGTTCAACCTAGAAATTAAAAGATTTCAAATGCTTCATGCCCAAGCCAGATTGTTGTCTAGAATGCCCAGTTAGGGCATCTGGTCTACCGGACACCTGAATGGCTTCTCCTGAGCATACTTAGGGTTCTGAAGCCGTCATCAGCCATTGCCTGCCAATCCTGAGTCTAGAGGAAATTTAGCATAGAACTTCCAGCATAGCATTTGACCAAAAGGGTTTTTCTCAGGGCAGGTATTCTCATATGGTCAGAATTGTGTATCAGATCTTAATCTGTTTTTTTTTTCCTAGAAGTTTGGGTCTACAGGCTAGAAAGTCAGGAGCAAAAGATACTCTGGGGATATTCACCAGTTGGCATTCATGAGCACAGAGGTCAACTTATTGAAGCTGTTGGGACAAGGCATATCATTTTACAGGGCTCTTTTCCTGAGAGATTTGGAAGAGACCGGGCAAGGAGAGTGTTGTTTCTGTTTTTTCAGAAAGGGGTGTAGTTCTGCATCCTAAGAAGCTTAAAGGGGATAGGATTTTCCTTTTCTCCTAGAATATTAAAGATAGTGAAATAAAAGAAATTCCCAAGGAAGAGTTTCCACAGAGAGAAGGAGCATCTCATAGCCAGGCCTGGCATTCCAGGGGAAGTTGATCCTAGGTAGGAATTCTCTGATATTTGATAGTAGCACGAGACATTCCAGTGGAGATAGCAAACCTTAGAGAAACACAGCAGTCATCCCCCTTAGCTGGACTGTCACCAAATATTCATATTTACCCAAAGAGGAGGGGCCCTTAGGGACCAATCGAGATGTCTCATCACCTTAATGAAAACATTAAAAAAAATGGGGCCCTAAGATAGTAAATGCCTATCAAAGGTCACACGGTGGCTTTACAAAGGGTGGGAAGAGGAAGAAGATGATCTTAATGCTTTGCAAATTCCCATAGGAAAGCATAGATAAGGAGTCATGCGATCATTTCTCAATTTGCTTTAAATAGCTCAAAGCTACTCTGCACTGGTCTTTCTAGTTTCTTTCTCCCAACTTTGCACACCTCTAAGTTGTATGATTTTAGTAATTGTCCTAGCAATTGTCTTAGCAAAAAGGAATTTTCCTTAAGTTTCTTTGCCTTAATTTGCTATGAAAATTATATCTGATATTTAGTCTATTCACTGTGCTTTGTAGGATCTAATAAGACCAAGACTTCAAGACAAGGCATGTCCCTTCAACTACCAAATAGGAAAACAATGAGGGCAAAGTTAAGTTTGCTCCTAAAAACACTTACTGTTAGTGGCAAAATCCCAAAAGGCACAATAAACTTGATCATAATTCTGATAAGGAAAAAAGAAATCAGAGGTAAACATCTATTCTTGAGAGGGTTACTACACAGTAACAAATACACCCAAAACGTTTTCATTTTTAGTTAGTAGATATGTATATGGGTGTGTATGCATACATATACACACACATACTCAGACTATTTTTTGAATTGTTTTTAAGCTCAACCCCCATGTAATCCTGCATTTATCATCAAGAAGACAGCATGTCACTGCATGGTGATCTGGCATGTATCATTCAAAATACTTGGAATTTGTCATGTTCCCAGATCATGATCCAGGAGGCTATGGCTAGTCAGGCCGGACTGATGTGTAGCAGCTGTTTTTTATGGAGCTCCGAAATTGAAGGCTCAAAGCTTAGAACAAATCTTATTGACAGAAGATTGAGTTTCTGCCTTTATTAAGCCTATTGAACATTACTGAAACTGGAAGCAAGAAACAGTTATTGGGGTTGATTTTGAGAGCTCCCAAATGAGAGATGTTACCAATCTAAACATGTTTCATTTGGTATCTGTTTTCTAGATTCCCTCTCTTACTCTCCCTCTTTTTCTTCTAGAAGCAAGATTAGTGAAAAATATGTTACACCATATGGACTTTTAGATTGCAAATTAAGGAAGACCACACTGGACACACATTAACATCACAGAATGGAATAGTAATTCATTCTTATACTAGGGCTAAATTTGATCATTTAGTAATGTATGCCTTATGTTATGCCGTATGACTATGGTTTTAGTTCTTTGATGATAATTAATACACAATGTAATGCTTTTCATGGAAGCCCCAAGAATACAAAGGTTCAGTTGTTTTGATTGAAATTGTTTGCCTCTCTTAAACATATATGGAGTCAAATGTTTTTAAGCTTGATAGTACAACCAAGAGGCCCATCTATCCTTAGTCATTGCTTTGCCGATGTGTCATAATGTTAGAATGCCCACCATTTGCTATTGCTATCACTTTAGAACATAACATTATTTCTACATGCCCCAGTTATCTCACATCTCTGCTACCTGGAATGGAACAAGCATCATTAAATCTTTTCATTATGTATGTTAACCAATTATTTTTAACAAGAAAATCGAAGAGGGTTTCTGAGGTAATTTGGTCCTCAAACAAAAATGGCTATGTTACCCAGTTTCCATCAATGTGCTGCAGAGTGATAACCACTGGATCAGCCAGATTTTGAATGGATGTATCTGATATGCTGGCACTCAAAACGTATGTGGTTAATGCCTTGGTGGCATTTTTTATCTGTACAGGAAACATAAAGAAGATGAATTTAGGCCCTAAATTCATAATTTCTTACATAGTCATTGTTGTCAATCTGAATCTATGAAGTGCTATGAATAGTATTAGTTTCAGAAATATGGAAAATAAATATACAAATTAAGAACTGACTTTTCAAAGATCAGCTCATCTCTCCTCTTCACATAAAGTCTCAATTACACTGAACTAGAAAAAGTCATTAACCCATCCATACATTCCCATTATCTATCCAACCAAGCCAATTAACATGCTTTTGTACTTGTACCTTAATATTGCACAAGCAACAAAAAATAATTATTTCCTACTTGGACAACTCTCCAGCTGCCTACAGTTCACAACTTCTCTAATTATAATCCTCATCCATCTTTATAAAGAGAATCTCTCCTTATAAGACTCTAACTTTATCATGGATTAGCTATAAACCACTCCTTGTTCTGTGCTCACTAGAGATGTAAGCAGGCTGATCAACCTCCAATTTGAAATAAGTCTCTAAGGATAGTCACCTCCTTCCTTTAAGACTATGCAATTGGAGGACATAACCCAGGCATTGTGAGCCTTGGCAATTCCTGCACAGAATACTGTACATTACATAATTTACCGTGTGCCCATGACACTTTGTTTAAGTGTTTTCGGCATGCATATAATCTTCAATTCCTCACTGGTATTATGTAGACACTTTCTCATAAACAGAGGCTTGGACAGGCTTAATACCAGAATGTATAAATACAATACAGCCAATAAATGACAGAGCACAGATGGTTAATTAATGTTGGTTTAAAGGTAATGGGGAGTACTAATTAATTTCAAGACCAGAGCACTAAAGGGCAAGGTAAGGTAAGACAGCTGAGCATTTGCCTCCTCTTAGGCACATCTGAAGAGACCACAGACAGGAATGGAGAAAGAAGGATAGAGAGAAACGATGTCCACTATCAACTTGCTAAGAAAGCCTAGAGGAGGTATGAAAATGGTGTGATATATTCATGAAGAAATACTGGATGGTACCCACTCACTAACCTGGGTAATTGTGAATGCAACCTTGAGCCACTAGGAAGCTCTTCACTAGAACTCTCTTCTAGTTTCATAGCCAGTTGTGTTCATCCCAAACTAACAATAACTTAGTGTTCCCTTCCCAATGTAGTTCCCTGGGGACAGCCTGATATAGAGGAAGATCAACAGTAAGCTAGAATGGAAAGGGCCCTGACTCACACTCAAAAGACCAAGTATTAGCCCATGCACTCTTGTTAGTCAAAAGAACTTCCCCTCCTGCTTTCTGGACTATTCGTGACATGAGGAAGGATAGACTGAATGATCTGTAATTACCCACCCAATTAACCTAACAGATATCTTTTCTCTATGGTAGAAAGGAACAAAAGAATTGTAACCCGCAATAACTAAGTACCTAATTGACCTCTTTTCTAGATTTATTTCTATTACTTACAAAATGGTGGACTTGCTGGGGAAGGAACAAAATCATTTTTCAACCCCCCTATCATCTGTGCCCTTGACTCAAGTTTTACCTGTTACACTTCTGAACTCTTACACAAACTGTTCCCTCTGCCCTGAAGCCCTCTTCTCTCCACCCCTGCCATTTCCTTCATCTTCTAGCTTCCATACTCTCAGTTGTAAGCTGAGGGGGTTCTTAAAGTGATTCCTGCTCTTCATGATGAGTGGTGAGGTCCTCTTTTTCAGTGACACAGTCCCCATAACACTATGCCCTTGCCTAGCGCATTTCACCTCCCTGAGAACCAAAGCTAACTAGTAGAGGCGTGGAGGAGGAGGTACAAGATGTTCTTATCAACAATTTCAAAGGTAATATGCTGTAATGACAGTTAAGATTTTGATCAAAAGATGTTAGAGGAAGCATTATAAAAGCAAGGCTGTGAGATTTGGAGACTGGAGAAAAAGATATGTAAAAGGTATTATGCCTTTAAACACTCTCTCCTCAGCAACCGGTGGCCAAATTCCCAACCTAGGTTCCCCTTCAGTGCTGAAACCTTCCAGTTTCTACTCAATCTCATTTCACTGTACTTTCCATGACAACAGCCCTTATGTCTGTCTTGCTTGGCATTATAGCCCCAGTATCTAGCTCCATAAATGACACAGGGTAAGAATGTGATGGACATTTGCTAGATGAATAAAGCAATACATTATGCCATCTTAACAGGTACCTTCCCTTTTCTGGGTTTCACTGGCCCTTACTGGTGAAATGTGGTCATGAGACACTGTGAGTTATCATAACTACCCCATCCCCGCCCCCAAGCTCTGAATTTGATGGCAGGCTAGTTCTAATACTTCTTCCTCTGACACTATGACGTCCGTAGGCTAATTTTGGTAAAGATCTCTAATGTCTTTTGGTGGAAGGTGTTAGTGAATAAAAATTGCTTATTAAGTGTGAAATCTATGCAAAACAAGTTTATCTTTTGTTCTAATGGATGAACACAGCCCTGTAAAGAAAGAAGTGAAATTAAGAACACAAATAATGGTGTCTCATATGATACAGAGAAGTGACAAGCCTATTAAAAGGTTTAGACAACTACAAAATACATTAAAAAAATTTTTGGTGGGTCATGAGGCTTGAACTCTGGGCTTGGGTGCTGTCCCTGCATTCTTCAGCTCAAGGCAAGTGCTCTACCGCTTGAGCCACAGTGCCACTTCCTCTTTTCTAGTGGTTTATTGGAGATAAGACTCTCATGGACTTTCCTGCCCGGGCTGGCTTTGAACCGTGATCCTCAGATCTCAGCCTCCTGAGTAGCTCGATTATAGGCATGAGCCACCATGGCCCGGCACATTTTAAATTTTTATGTGTACTAAAAACTCTTCTGTCCAGGGAGCAGGCAAGAAAGAGAGGAGGGGTTCACTAGCTCTAGGCAGTCTTCCTGGGTAGTATTGCAGCTAGGTCTACAGGAATAAATAGAACTTACAGACAAGTGATTATAGAATTCCAAGGGAACAGATATAGTTGCGGGTGGCATGGTATATTTGAGTTGGTAAAGGTGTATGGTATATTTTGAACTGTTCTTCCCCAGAGAGATTCACAGATTTGTTTAACCTGTAAATTTTTGACCACTACAAAGCTAATGTTTTGGATAATCTCCTTAGAAGCAGAAATACACCTGGAAAAATTAAGGCATTATATATACATGAATTTGGTGTCAGACATGCTGAATTTGATTCCTGTGTTACATCTTTAAGTTACCTCTTTAAGTTTTTGTTTCTTGTGAGAAATAAATGAGATGGTAAATGTAAATATTAACAACCAATAGTGTTCACCATCATCAATGTCACTTAAAATCTGATTACTGTCTTCCTCGCAGCTAGATGAGATAGCATGATGTGAAGGAATGGACCTTTTGTTAGGCAGAAACCCAAGATAGGATACTAATAAGAGCAATGCAAACCACATATGTTGGTGCCAGGCAACATAGTATTTTGTGTAGATGTTAACTTCCTTAGTCTTTCAACATCCCTTCCTACTCAACTTTACACAGGAGGAAACTAAGGTACATGGTGGTTGAATAACTTGCCCAAGTAGCAGATGGTAAAGTGAGCTTTCCACAAGTTTGGTTCCTGAACCCATGATCGTCACGTATCACATTTTATCTGTTTTAGCATGGGTGGTGACTAGAGTCTTCAGAGAAGGTTCTGTGATCCAGGGAAAGGGCACAGTAAGTGCCTGTAGTCAGGTGTTGAGTAAATTAGTGCCCCCCCCCACCTTAATGGGTACTGTGACTTTGATAAAGCAGGAAAGACTGGGAGAGCACTGGCAAATTAAAAGGTCATTGTTAGGAGAATGTGGCCTCTGTATGATCATCACATAATTCTTAATGTCCCTTCCAAAGCTGAGAATCAAGTTAAAAAGTATAACATTGCCAGGTGCTGATGACTCATACATGTAATCCTAGCTACTCAGGAGGCTGAGATTTGAGGATTGCAATTCAAAGCCGGCCCAGGCAGGAAAGTCTGTGAGACTCTCATCTCCAATAAAGGATCAGAAAACCAGAAGTGGTGTGGTGGCTCAAGTGGTAGTGTTTGCCTTGAGCTGACAAGCTGAGGGACAATACCCAGGCCCAAAGTTCAAGCCCCATGACCAACAAAAAAATAAAATAAACCCAAAGCTGTATAATATTATTAAAGTACATGTTGATCCATGTTGAGGGCCTGAGCTTGTGCTAAATAGCACTCGTGGAATCAATCAGAGAGAATATTCTAAAATAAACAGAACAGTTTGAAAGTAGCAGGAGATTATAATTACAATGAGTCACCATGTCCCAGTTCATGACAGTTATCAGAAGCAAGAACTTACCTTAAAGAGTGAAGTTTGGCCAAAAAAACTGAACAAAATAGTTTGCAAGCCATTAAAAGGAATTCTTTCCCTCAGTGATTTAGGTAAATATATGGAAGCCAAAACCTTCCCCAAAGGGACATCACCTAAGTAAATCTGCCAAGAAAAACCAGGAAACAAAAACTCAGAGAGCTCAGCCATCAGAATGAAATCTTACTCACTTCCCATCCTATTCTTTTCACAAAGTATCCCACCTAACACTGGAAACTACCTCCATAAACTATACTACCTCCATGCCTTTGCCCATGCATGCACATGCACAAACACATGCACATTCAGAAGCACAGGCCAAGATATCTTAGAGTTTATAGAAATACACATCTATTAACACTCAGAAACATAGAACAAGATGCAATCCCAGTGTACACAGACATACATTTTCTGAAACACAAGCCAAGGCATGATTCTAGTGTACATAGACAAACAAGCACACTCACACTTGAAATCACAAACCAAGAGTCACAGGCCAAAACATGATCCTGATGCATGTACACAGACAAACACATATATGCATACTCACACTCAGAATCAATGCTCAGGCATGATTTCATGTATATAGATAGATAGACAGACAGACAGATAGACATACACACACACACACACACACACACACACACACACACACACAACTTCAGAATTACAGGCCAGGTTCATGATCCTTGTGCACACAGACAGACACAAACTCAAACACAATCAAAATCACAGAACAAGTGATGATCCTGGGGAACACACACCCACCCACACACACACACACACACACACACACAGATAAAATAAGACAAACACACTCAAAATCAGAATCAAATCCAAAATATGATTTAGAATGTATGCATAAACTGACAGAAACATGAACACACCACACACACACACACACACACACACACACACACACACACCAACCTATTAAGAATCACAGGTCAAGACATGAGTCTAGTGAACATAAACAGAATATATTCACAATCCTACTCAGGATCATAGGAAAAGACATGATTGCTCACAGATAGACATACACATTCACCCTCACACTTAGAATCAAATTCCATGGCATGCATGATCCTTGTATACAAAGGAAGACAGACATGCATAGAAGAAATAAAGGAAGGTATAAAACTCTACATAGATGATTTTTGCTTGTATAGTCTTAAGGAATCTGCAAAACAACAACTAGAAATAAATGAACCCAGCAAGTCCATAGGAAGTCTCTTATCCACAAATACTTAGGAGTTGAAATATTTCAGATTTTGGGGGATTTACAAACATATATTTGCATAGACTTTGCCAATCAGAATCCTGAAAAGCTCCTAAATCCAAAATTACAAAGTAATTTTAGATTCTGGATTTTTAAATTAAAAATGCTCAGTCAACCTGTATTGCATATGTAATAGAAAATAAATAAACTATACATAACATATTTTATACATAATCAATTGCATTTTACTTATTAGCAGCAAATAATTGGAAAATCAAATTTAAAAATTACTCTATTTGTAGCAACATAAAAACAAACACTCAAGAATAAATTTGTCAGAAGACTTCTAGGCATGGTAGCACATGCTTATAATCTCAGTATTTAGAAGTCAGAGGCAGGAGGATCCCAAGTTCAAGTTCAGAGAAACAGTGAGATTGTCCTTAAAAAAGGTCAGGGTGAACTAATTCATCTGTGATACTCACTAGACATTGTATTGAAAACGAACTATACAACTTGTGGGGGAGGGGGTCAGGAGTAAAAATGCTGGGAGGTGACATTGTTCAAAAAGAAATGTACTCATTACCTGACTTGTGTAACTGTAACCCCTGTGTGCATCAACTTTACAATAAAAATTTAAAAAAAAGAAACAAAAATGTTTTCATCCTTTGCGTGCAAAAAATGTTTCGTGTATGTGTGTGTGTGTGTGTGTGTGTGTGTGTGTGTGTGTGTGTCCTACAGCTTGACCTCAGGGCCTGGGCACTGTCTCTGAACATTTTTTTTATTTTTATTGTCAAAGTGATGAACAGAGGAGTTACAGTTACATAAGTAAGGTAGTGAGTAATTTCCTGTCCTCCCTCATTTTTCTCCCACTTTCCGTCCCCCAACCCTCTCCAAGTGGTACAGATCATTTCCAACATATTGTCTTGTGAGTATCACTGTTGCACCCTTAGCAAGAAATAGAAACAGATGTTGACAGGGATGTGGCCAAAAAGGAGTTCTACTATACTATTGGTAGGAATGTAAACTGGTTGAAGTAGTCTGGTTCAACCACTAGAGGTTCCTCAAAAGACTAAAGCTCCCCTATGACCCAACTATCCCATTCCTGGACATTTATCCAAATGATCACAAACAAGGTCACACTAAAGCTACCAGCTATGTTCACTGCAGCATTACTTACCATAGCTAACATATGGAACCAACCCAGATGCCCCTCAGTAGATGAATGGATCAAGAAAATGTGGTATATATACACAATGGAATTCTATGTCTCCATCAGAAAGAATGACATTGCCCCATTTGTACGGAAATGGAAAGACTTGAAAAAAATCATATTAAGTGAAGTAAGACAGACCCAAAGAAACAGGCTCCATGTTTTCCCTCATTTGTAATAATTAGAATATGTCTAGGATATCCCTAGCAGAGGATCACTATAGCTCAATAGCTATGATCATATAAAATAATGCTAACTGAAATGAACTCCAAGATAGGGAAACAAGAGTTTTTGTTTCTTTGATTTTGTTTTTGTTTTTCAATGTACTCTGTGAAGTTATTTCTCTCATTTTTTCCCTTTCATTTATCCCGTTGTCACTGATTTTTATTTTTGGTACTCTATGTCATGTATATATGTTTATGATTTGGGGAAGGAAAGGGGAATAACAAAACGGTGAGACAAAAAACAAAGGGTGAACTAAAGCAACAGCAATATTCACTAGACACTATGGTGGAAATGAATTTTATAACTTGTGGGTGAAGGGAGTCAGGGTGGGGGGGCAGGGAAGGAAAGTGGGAGAAAACAAGGGAAGAGGTAACAATGTTCAACAAGAAATGTACTCATTGCCTTATTTATGTAACTGTAACCCCTCTGACATCACCCTTACAATAAAATAAAATAAAATTTAATACATAAAAGAGCCTCGCAGACTTTCCTTCCCAGGCTGGCTAGGAACCACTACTCTAAAATCTCAACCTCCTTAAGTAGCTAGAATTACATGTGTGAGCCACCAGTGCCCAGCTGACAAAGATTTCTTTAGACAAGTTTCATATATTTACTCAAGGGAAAAAATGGGTATGAAGTAATTATTAAGATGTGTATCCTTAGACAAAATTTTAACTGTTTTGTTTTTCTTACATATTCACAAAAGACTAACACAATGTACAATATATTGTAAGTACTCCATAAGTGATGATTGACATAGGAGATGATTTTCGGTCACAAGGCCATATTTTGCATATCAGAGACATCATTCCAACTAAAATGTCAGCCTACCAAGGGTTATATGACAATTCCTTGGGATATTTGTATTTTCATAAAATCCCCTAAAGAAATTCTAGTAATGTTCTTTCTCCCATCTAAGAAATTCCTGAATGATACCTGGAAATAGTTGCCTGGTTCTTTTCAGAGTTGCACTCACCTCAGGAGCTGTGACTTCATAGGAACAGATGCTGAAGGCCATACCTTCAAACCTGTGGTCCATTCGCAGCACAGCCAAAGCCAGCCCACCCACTGTGATATTTGCCGTCCTCCCTGAAAACTCTATCTTGTGACCAGCACGCTCGATTGTCCTGAGAATTCTGCAAAGAAACATGGGTGAAGAAGAATCTTCCTACTTCATTAATGTAAAACCCATCCTCCTCACAAGATTTCCTCATTGAAAGACTTTGCTCTGTGCTCTAATTATCATCTTACATTGTTGAAGAATTATTACATAAGAGCTTGGGAGGGTAAAATTGGGAGGATTGTAGTTTGAGGCCAGCACAGGAGAAAACATTTGTGACATTTTGTGTCAACCAATTTAAAAAATCAAGAAGGGTGGAGAATGTGGCCTGTCTTCCAAATTATGCAGGAAGCACAAATAGGAGGATATTCTAGGCCAGATGCGGGGAAAGTATGACCCTATTCCAACATATTTTTTAAAATGTCTAAAGCGGAAAGGGCTAATAGCATTACTTAAGCCCCTGAGTTCAAATCTCAGTATCACCCAAATAAGATTTCTGGCTTTGGAACCAGGCAGAGTAATATCCAACTGTGGGGCCAGATGTGGTAGCCCAAACTTATAATCATAGCTACTCGGGGAGTAAAAAGTGGAGGAATTGTGGTTCAAGGCCAGACTAGGCATAAAAATTCTCCAGATCTATCTCAATGGTTGAGTGCACAATCTGTCATCCCAAGGTATACAGTGGAAGTACAATGACTGACTGGGCACCGTGAGCTGTGCCTGTCTTCTCAATGATAAAGGGAAGTACAAACAGGAGGATTACAGTCCAGAGTGTTCAGTGCCTAAAGTAAGATGGTTTCTCAAATATAATAACCAATCCCAAAAGGAAACTACTGAAGTAGTTCAAGTGGCAAAGTACCTGCTTAGCAAGTATGAGGCCCTGAGTTCACACCCCAGTAATGCCAAATTATAGTAGTAGTAGTAGTAGTATTTAACAAAACATTCATTGTTAGGAAAGCCAAATGACCACCGTGAGCCATAGTTTCCATGCCTACAGAGTCAGAGGTAATATTAGGACACATCCAAAAAGTTATTTGACAAATTAAGTGAAATTACCATAAAATCAAATGCTTTAGGCATCTGATATGCCTTCTAAGAAGTTTAGATTTTATTTGACACACAACTGAGTGGTTTTAAAAGCAAGACATGATCTGTTATACACATTAAACAATCGCCCTGGCTGCTATAGAGGGACAAGAGTGGAAGCAGCGAGACCAGAGGAGGCTATACTGGTCTCTACTGTAGTTAGCCAGAAGAGAACTGAAGCTGGGACTGAAGATGAGGACAGAGATAGGAATAGATGGATTCCACTGGAGGTTTAAATAGATTTTTTAAAAGTATATGTGAGTAGTTATTGTTGACAGTGAGTTAGAAGGCGCTAACTAGTACAATTTCCAACATTTTCTCATTAACATGGATTAGACACATTTTTTATAGAAATGTGGAATCCTGGCAAAGCAATGGGTTGGAGAACTAGGTTGGAGGTTTGGGCATGGGGTAAGTATTTATTTCAAAGTTATTTTTTCACTAGTATTCAATTCAAAATTGAAGGCATCTTTTCCAACTAGGATTGAAGCAAATGTGCCACTGGAATCTAAGGAAGTAATAATAAATCCTTTAAATTTTATGAAGTAATTTCTTTTACCAACATGTTACTACTTACACATTGCTCACTGGATGCAGATTGGAGGTCAAATCACTTTGTTTTTCTGAAACTACATTGATTATTTGTAGTATAATCTGGGTTAGCTTCATACTTATCTCATCACACTTTGAAATATCAGCCACTTTAGAAACAATTATCCTTGTCTCTTCTTCATCCAGAAGTGAAGCTTCCTTTACCAAGTTTAAAATGTGCTCGGCAACATCATCTGCATTTTCTAGAGGGAAGCAAATTAGAAACTCACAGCCTATATTACCAAACTGAGTTGGGGTGATGCTGGTCTGCCTCTTTCCCATTAAAAATGAAAGGCATTGCTGGGTGCTAGTGGCTCACATTTATAATTCTAGCTATTTGAGAGGCAGATATTGGAAACTTCATGCTTCAGTGCAGAAAATGTTCATAGGACCCCTTTCTTGACCAATAGCTCACATCTACCATCCCATCTACATGGGAAGCTGAGAAGAAAAACACAATGGGTTCAGGCAACCCTGGGCAAAAGAAGTTCATAAGACACTACCTCAAAAGAAAAAGCTGCCGTGCACTGGTGGTTCATGCCTGTAATCCTAGCTACTCGGGAGGCTGAGATCTGAGGATCGCTGCGGTTCAAAGCCAGCCCAGGCAAGAAAGCCCACAAAACTCTTATCTCCATTTAACCACCAGGAAACCGGAAGTGGCGCTGTGGCTCAAGAGGTAGAAAGCTAGCCTTGAGCTGAAGCGCTGAGGGACAGCGCCCAGGCCCAGAGTTCAAGACGCATGACTGACAAAAAAAAAAGCCAAGAATACAAATTTATATACAAAATAAAGACATGCATTTCATTTGTAAAAGGAAAAAGAAAAAGCTGAATATAGTAGTGAACACCTGTTATTCCATCTACAACAGGAAGCATAAATAAGAGTCCAGTCCAATCCAGGCATAAACAAGACACCCTATCTTAAAAAGAATTAAAGCAAAAAGGGATAGGAGTGTGGCTCAAGTGATAGAGCACCTGTGTAACAAGTCTGAAGCCCTGCATTCAAAACTCAGTGCCACAAAAAAGGAAAACCAATAAAATGGTAATACATACCAAATTTACACACAGAAAAATTAGGACTTCAATTTCTACAAAGATTTAGTCCCAGAAAATACCATGTAAGTCATGCTTTTATTCATCAAATCTTTTTTTAAAATGCACCAGGGAACTCTTTTTGTCACTGAAGAATTATCTTGAAATTTGATTCTAATTAAGACTTTCAAGTATTGGATTGAATTAAGTAGATGCCTCCTATACTCAAATATCAGCAAACATTATGTCTAAGTTTTCATAATCAAAGGTGGTGGTTGTAATTTCCTGTCAAGAACCATCATCTTACAGAAAAGAAGCAAATGTGGACCACATAATAAAAAGCAATTAATTGAGATTTTTCTAGAGAGGAAGAACAATAGGTATTAACTCGCCCACTTTTTTTCTTCACTTTTTATTATGGAAATTTTTAAGCACATACAAAAGTTGAAAGAATAGTATAATGAATCCCCATGTACCTTATGAATCACCTAACTTCAACAAGTATCATTGAAAGGCTAATCTGATTTGATTTACTTTATCTTGTATTTTCCCCCAACCCCAGGTTATTTTAAGGAAAATCCCAGATGTCACTTCATTTATTCCATTAATACTTTAGTACATATCTTTAAAATACAGGACTTTCAAATCTAGATCATGCCTGAAATCCCAACAACTTTAGAGGCAGAGTTTAGGAGGATCACAGTACCAGGTCAGCACAAGCAAAGCAAACATTTTGTAAGACTTCCATGTCAACAAATGAATTGTACATAGTGGTATGCACCTGTCACCCCAAATATGTAAGAAGCATAAGTAGGAGGATTGCACTTCAGGAACTCTTAAATAAAAACCACCAGACCCTACTAGAAAAATAACTACAACCCAAAGGGTACGGCACAAGTGATAGAGTACCTAGCTATCAAATTCAAGGCCGTGTTCTAACCTTAGTGCTGCCAAAGCAAAATAAACTAAGATAGAATAAAGAATGTTAATTTGTCCTAACTAAAATCCTAATTAAATTAAAATTATGAAGCTCTAGTTCTACCTCCTTCCTTTCTTTCCTCCCTCTCTCTCTCTTACTTTCTCTCTTTCAATGTCCCCTGACTCCAGCTCCTCATAATGCAACTTACACAGGCTAGACTGTCTTTCTTCCCTTTTTAATTCTTTTTTCCCTATGAGCAACTATCCTCTTTATCAGAAAGTAAGTAATCTTAACAGAAGTGGTCTCTACTCCCCTTACCCCAACAATGGCTTACATAGAAACTGAGTAGGCCAAGACTCCAAGTCTTTGGGAACAAAATGGAAGGAGATGGACTACCTTCATAATAATACTTTAATATTTTATACCTATTAATAACTGTCTCCTGGCCAGTTAAAGAAAGTGAGAAAGCACTAAGAGTAGGGAATAAAAGAGCAATAGATGAGGGTGAAGTTAATCTGACAAAATTAACTGGTGAATTACCATGTTGAAACCCTTTGGTACAATTAATGTACATTTTTAAATGACAGGCACAAAAGTTAATTCATTAATTAATTTTAGATCTTCCTGCCCCAGCTTTCCAATTGTCAAAATAACTGGCACCACACCCAACCCAAAAGACATAAAATTCTATACAATAACAAGAATTCAATATATATCCTGCAAAATTAAGAAGAATGAAGGAAAGGATGAGTAGGGAAGGGATGGGAGACTAAAGAGTGACATTGATCAAGATATAGTGTGTTCATAAACTGAATTGTTAAATGGTGACCCCTTTATACAACTACTTACAGATAATAAAATAAATAAATAACACAAAATGAATGACAGAAAAGTAAACCAGCTTTTCAATGGGAAGGGGAGCGCCAACAGAGAGGGTAAGTGAGGGTGATTGTGATGGTAGTACTTTATATACATTGTTGAAATTGTTTTAAGAAGGGGAAAGAGAGATGGAGAGCATGAGTTTCATCCGGGTACATTGGATGCATGTATGGAAATGTCACAACGATCCCCCTCCTGTGCACAACTAAGAAAAAAAAACTTTAAGAAACCTAAGAGGAAAATAACAAGATAAAAGAGTGTGTTCATTCACAGATTGTCTAGTGCTCTTATTAAATTGTTCAAGCTTTGTTGAAAATGGAATCTCTGGGGCTGCCTCGTCATGATTCTTTGGCCTTCCATGGTGCGACTTCACTTCACACAGTCCCTGCTGTGGCAGAATGAAAGTAAACAACAGGCCAATGGGAGGCTAACTATACTGTGGAAAGTAATTACAGAATTTTCATCTGGAGTTATAAAGTTTTTTCAGGGAAATTCAGGATAAATTATACTCATTGTGTAACAATTTGATGTCCCTAAACAAAATTAACCTATTAATTGCAGAATAAATGGTTCCCCATTGCTTGAAATATTGTTACAAATGGTCTGCAAATAATTGCAACAATCAAAACAACAATAATATTTGCTCTTTCTTGAGCAAATTCGGTGAGTCCATGTTGTAGTTATCTATGGATGCATAATAAATTACCCCAGTTCATCATTATCTCTTGTAGTTTTGTGTGTTGAGTAGCCCAACTAAGCAATTCTCACTTGGGAGGGATCTCCCAGGCAGTTGCAGTCAGATAGAAGTTGGAACGGAACATAGGTGAAAGAGAGCCTGCATTGGAAGTTTAAAGTGGAAAACTTACATGGCTGGCAGTTGGTACTGACTATGAGCTAGTCAACTGAAGCTGTGGACCGAACTGACTACATAAATGGCCTCTAAGTGATCTAAGTTCAGAAGTGGGGTGGATCCAGGATGTAATATACTTGAGTCAGCTTTTACTAGTTTATGAGAAGCAATTAAAATTTAGGGGCCATTTTTGAGCTGCTTATTAAACACAACCACCATTAAAAATTAAAGTAAGCCAGGCACTGGCAACTCACACCTGTAATCCTAGCTACTTGGCAGGATGACAATCAGAGATCATGGTTTGAGGTCAGTCTAGGAAGAAAAGTCCCCAACACTCCATCTCAACTAACAGCTGGGTGTTGTGTGTGCCTGACTTCCTAAAGGTCCACTGGATGCTGACATTGGGAGGATTGAAGTTCCAGGCCAGACCAGGAAGAAAAATCCAAGAGACTTTTGTCAAAGGAGGGAAGCTGGACATTGTCCATGCACTTGTGATCCTGGTAACTACAAGAAGCCTAAAGCAGGTGGATGACAGTTCAAGTGAGCATCAGGTCAGGAAATTAAACTCGATCAGCAAAAAGTAGTGCTGAATGTGTGGTGCATTGGTAGGTTTTTTTTCCATATCTATTTTTATTGTAAAAATACTGTACAAAAAGGTTACAGTTATATGAGTGAGGTAATGGGTACATTTCCTATCGAGCATTGTTACCTCCTCCTTTGTTTTTTCCTTACCATCCCTTCCCTCCTCACCTCCCTAACTCCTCCCTCCCCTCCCCAAGTTGTAAAGTTCATTTTCAACATAGTGTCTTGCACATCTCATTACAATGGGTCAACCTGTATCCTTATTTCAGCATTTTTTATATCCTTCCCCCTCCCCAAATTATAAATATATATATACAAGGTGCAGAACACAGGAATCAGATACAGTGAAAACAGTTGTTAGAACTGTGGGGGAAGCCAGGCGCTGGTGGCTCACGCCTGTAATCCTAGCTACTCAGGAGGCTGAGATCTGAGGATCGCGGTTCAAAGCCAGCCCAGGCAGAAGAGACCGTGAGACTCCTATCTCCAATAAACCACCAGAAAACCGGAAGTGGCGCTGTAGCTCAAGTGGTAGAGCGCTCGCCTTGAGCTGAAGAGCTGAGAGACAGCGCCCAGGCCCAGAGTTCAAGCCCCACGGCTGACCAAAAAAAAAAAAGAACTGTGGGGGAAAAACACACAAAAGAAACAAAAGAATCACATAGTGCATTATAAATACGTTAAAAACAATAGCAACCAAGAGAAAAAAACCACTTGTGTCCCGGTCTTGGGGTTCATTTCACTTAACATCATCTTATATGGTCATATGTACATAGCTTTTGACCTTTTCTGTATGTACTAGACATGTACTAGTTATTGAAAATAAGGGAAACCATGGGACTTATGTTTCTTTGGGCCTGGCTTACTTCACTTAGTATATATATATATATATATATATATATATATATTGGTCCGGTAGTGGGGCCTGAACTCTGGGCCTGGGTGCTGTC